CTTCAGTCCATTGAAATACCAAGCCCAGGACTCCTTTCCTTTCAACCTACTCACAGCACTCCTTGTGAGACAAAGTCCTGAACCCTAAAATCTTACATATTCTTGGGCTGTTGAATGCTCCTGTGTTCATAGGGTCATTTCCTCATAGGTTTCTTTATAGGACTGTAACTGTAACCTCTGAGGCATGTTTATGTGTTCAGCTTTCCACACTTTACTCTCTCTCTCTCTCTCTCTCTCTCTCTCTCTCTCTTCCAGGGGCTGGAATGAGGTTGTTGCCAAATCCTCAGCTGTTTTGTGATGGAGTGGAAGTGAATCAGGTAAGCAAAAGGATTCCTGGGAGAGGAGGAAGGGAGCTGCCTGGGGGTCATTTCTTCCAGGCTTCATCCTCAAACATCGCTTGAAAGAGAAAAGATCAAATGGGAGTTTTTTAAAAGTGAAATATTGAAGGCACAGTTGCAAACAGTGACAACAAGGGGAAAAAATATAAGAGAAATCTAAAGAAACCAGAATGGATGTCCAAAGCAGTGAGCTAAGATTTAAAAGGAACATCTACAAGAAATTGGGAGGGAGAGCCAATACTACAGAGGACAGGAGCAGGATTCAAAACTATCTTGACAGATTAGAGAGATGGGCCAAAACTAACAAAATGAAGTTCAACAGTGACACATGCAAGATACTCCACTTTGGCAGGAAAAACGAAATGCAAAGATACAGAATGGGGGACAATGCCTGGCTCGAGAGCAGTACGTGTGAAAAAGATCTTGGAGTCCTGTGGACAACAAGTTAAACATGAGCCAACAATGTGATGTGGCAGCAAAAAAAGCCAATGGGATTTTGGCCTGCATCAATAGGAGCATAGTGTCTAGATCTAGAGAAGTCATGCTACCCCTCTATTCCGCTTTGGTTAGACCACACCTGGAATATTGTGTCCAATTCTGGGCACCACAATTCAAGAGAGATATTGACAAGCTGGAATGTGTCCAGAGAAGGGCGACTAAAATGATCAAGGGTCTGGAGAACAAGCCCTATGAGGAGCGGCTTAAGGAGCTGGGCATGTTTAGCCTGAAGAAGAGAAGGCTGAGAGGAGATATGATAGCCATGTATAAATATTTGAGAGGAAGCCACAGGGAGGAGGGAGCAAGCTTGTTTTCTGCTTCCCTGGAGACTAGGACGCGAACAATGGCTTCAAACTACAAGAGAGGAGATTCCATCTGAACATGAGGAAGAACTTCCTGACTGTGAGAGCCGTTCAGCAGTGGAACTCTCTGCTCCGGAGTGTGGTGGAGGCTCCTTCTTTGGAAGCTTTTAAACAGAGGCTGGATGGCCATCTGTCAGGGGTGATTTGAATGCAATATTCCTGCTTCTTGGCAGGTGGTTGGACTGGATGGCCCATGAGGTTTCCTCCAACTCTTTGATTCTATGATTCTATGTACCTGGAAAAGGTGGTGCAATAAACACAGGGGATGGGCCTCAGTCCTCTCCCAAAAGGGAATCCGTATTCTGCTTGAGCAAGATGGAGCAGGTCAGGAAATAGGGGAAATATGACCCAAAATAGGGGGAAAAAGTCGTCTTGGCAGGGGGTTGGACTGGATGGCCCATGAGGTCTCTTCCAATTCTATGATTCTATGAAATGGAAAAGGGGGGAAATCACCAAGGATTTCAGGCAGCTAACCAGCATAAGGAGGGAAAAGGTCTGACAACCTTGCCAGAGAGATTACAAAGAATAAAAAGCGGGTTCTTTGGTTGTGTCAGTAGAAGAAGGAAAAACGAAGAAGTGATAGGGTCAGTGCCTGGAGAAGGTGGTGAGATGCAAACAGGGGATGGGGAAGAGGGAGAACGTGGCCTCAGTCCTCTCCCAAAGGGGAATCCGTATTCCGCTTGAGCAAGATGGAGCAGGTGAGGCAATAGGGGAAATGCAACCCAAAATAGGTAAAGAAGTAGTCCAGGAATAGCTGGGCACTCTCAATGAATTCAGGTCTCCAGGGCCACAGGAATGACACCCAAGAGTCCTGAAAAAGCTCGCAGAAGAAATTTCAGAACCACTGGCAATAATCTTTGAGAACTTCCGGAGAACGGGAGAAGTCTGACCAGAGTGGAGGAGGCAAAGAGTGTCTCTGTCTTCCAGAATGGACAAGGGGTGCTCCCCAGAGGTTCCTCTTCATCCTGGAAAGAAGGGAGGAGTGCTGCAGGGCTCTTTTGGGGGTTCTGTCCTTGGCCCAGTGCTGTTCCACACCTTTCTTTGCAGATGAGACCAAAATGAGGAGGGATAGATAATACTCCAGAAGACAGGATCAGAATTCAAAATGGCCTTAACGTATTAGAAAGCTCGTTGAAAACTAAAAATTAATTTCAACAAAGAGAAATGTAGGAAATACACAACGCACAGATACAGGATGGGTAACGTGGCTCGACAACAGTGCATGTGAAAGGGATCTTGGAGTGTTAGTAGACCACAAGTTGGACATGAGCCAACAGTGAGATGCACAGGTATACAAGTCTCAGGTGAGAAGGATTTCTCTTTCTTTTCCCTCCAGGGCCCAATTGCCTTTGAGGAGGTGGCTGTCCCTTTCTCTTTGGAGGAGTGGGTTCTCCTGAATCTTGATCAGAAAGTCTTGCATGTGCAGATCATGGAGGAGATTCATGGGATGGTGGACTCTCTTGGTAAGGCCCCCTCATTCCTGGGGATTTCTGTTTCAAAATGCAGCATCCCAGTCAGCAGCTCTCTGGTGGGAGCAGGATCCTCCATCATCCCAATCTCTGAGAGTTCTCAAGGCAGGGCTTTTGTTGGAAATATAGGACCTGAGTGTAACATGGACTTGGTGCCTGAGTCACAGTGGTGTTGGCACCAATTCACACTCCAATGGGAAGACGTCCATAACTGGAGCCAAGTCCAAGCGCACCACCTCGCAGCAAGAGTCCCCCCCCCCATCAAGAGTAATCACCCCAGATCAGTCACACTTCTCTCTCTCTCTCTCTCTCTCTCTCTCTCTCTCTCTCTCTCTCTGTGAGTATGTGTGTTCTGCCTCTGTGTTCCTTGTGTTGAATTGGAAGGAATGTTACACAAGGGACAGATTGGAGGTTGTATGGGAAGTAAAATAACCATTTTTTGAACAAACTGAATTTCCTTTCCTTTGGTTGCCTCTGTATGAAAGAAAACCCTATGAATGTGACTGCCTTTACTTTATCTAATAATAGAAATTAGATGTGACTTCTGTACTATATCTAACTCTATGTCACTATCTAGATCTAATCTTTATCAAAATGACTGTAAAACTATCTATCTATCTATCTATCCATCCATCCATCCATCCCTGATTGTAGTATCTATATAATTTCACTTCCTATTAACTCTGACATGACGTGGATTCTTGTGCTCTTTCTGCCCCTCTGCTGCCTTAAGTGGGGAACACTCCCCACCTAAAACTTATTAATAACTTTTACCCCCTTAGCAATAATAAATTAACACTGATCTATGAATTCTTCCCTGTGAAATAACAAAGTCCATAGTTGGTCTTCCGATGCTTCTGGCACTTGATGTCTTCGATGTTTTCCTTCTTACCTTCGATCCTCCTTCATGAGGACGATGTCCTCTCCGGTTGAAATGTCCCAGTAATGCTGGAACCTGAAAGGCAAAGTTGTCCTGAGAGTCAAACCTGTCCATTGCGATACTGCAACACAGGTCTCGGGTTCTCTGGACCCATGTACACTCTTGTCCCAGCTTCTTCCTGGGAGGTAATTTACTGTTTCTCTTGAGGGTCAGAAAGAGAGCAATTCACTTCTTCTCTTGAGGTTTGGAAAGAGAAGAATCCACTGTTCTGCCTCTGTGTTACTTGGGTTGAATTGGAAGGAATTTTACACAAAGCACAGATTGGAGGCTGTGTGGGAAGAAAAATAATTGTTTATTTGAACAAACTGAATTTCTTTTCCTTTGGTTTCCGCTGTCTGAAAGGAAACCCGATAATCTTCTGCAGCCTTGTACTTAACCCAGAATGTGACTGCCTTTACTTTACTAAATAGATATTAGATGTGACTTTGATATTACAGTGGTCCCTCGCTACTTCGCAGTTCGCTTTTTGCAGACTCGCTGTTTCGCGGTTTTTCAGTATGGACTTAAGCGCATTTGTCTGTCTGGAGAGGCTGCCTCTGCAGATCAAGACGGAGCTGAGGATTACGTGAACAGCACGTTGAAGGAGGGTCATGTCGTGTATAAGTGTGTGGGGAGGGTTTATAAAGACTTAAAATAGTGTATAACTCTAAATAGTGTATAACTTAAAATAGTGTATAACTCTAAATATAGTAGGAACACTATCTTTATTTTAATGCATAAATATTTTCACTTTTTGTGGACTTTCACTTTTTGCGGGTGGTCCTGGAACATAACACCAGCGATAAATGTATATCAAACTCTATGTCACTATGTCACTACTATATCTAATCTTTATCTAAATGACTCTATAACTATCTATGACTTTACTATCTATATTATTTCACTTCCTATTAACTCTGACGTGACGTGGGTTCTTGTGCTCTTTCTGCCCCTCTGCTGCCTTCCAATAATAAAATCCAACTGATTTCCTAATTGTCAAAACTGCCATTCTAAAGCAGGCTTGAGCTCCTCTCCCCCCCCCCCCCCCCCCCCATTTACCCTTAAAGGCACAGGGAGCATATTATGAATTCTGCCTCTGGAGGAGGAATAATGAGTGAGAGAGAAAGAGAGGGAGAGGCTGGAAAAGGGAGGAAGCGGATTGATTGGAAAGAGGGGCCAGAGAATGGATCTGCAAAAAGAACAAGCTTCCCCTGGCTTCAGTTACGCAGATGCATCTATACATCTTTTTCCGGTGTATTCAGCTGAGTTTTTCCTCCCAACCAGGCAGGCTGGCCTTTGCATGTCTGATGGCTAAGCTCTCTTTCTGCGTTGCCTCTCCCAGCACACAAACAGCCCGCGACCTCAGTCATCCGCATTATTATGACTTGTAATATAATGCGTTCTATGTTCTGTGATTGTGAATGATGGGGGCTCGGGGTGGTTTGTGCCCTGGGAGAGGCATCTAGCAGTAATCCCACTCTAGGCCCCTCTCTTTCCAATGGTACGTTCGCCCCTCTATCTGGCTGAGTCCTGCAGACTTTCCTTTTTTTCTCCCTTCATGGTTGTTTTCCTCTTTTTCTCCACAGTCCCTATCTTGCATATTCCCAACTTTGTCAGGCAAATCTATCCCTTTGGAACTCACGTTTACAGCAAACTTCCAAAAACTGTCAGAGTCCCATTTAGTAGTTGATGGTCAAAGCAGAACCATCTCTGCAACCCTCCAGAATTCGGTCTGGGACCTTCTACGTTAGAATAGAAAAACCCAACCTTATCTGAAGATGGGAAGAGAGAACTGGAGGTTAGGGAAAGAAATAAAAAGGAGGGAAGAAGGGAAAGTCTTAAGCTAGAGAAAATGCAAAGCCTTTGAATGTGAAGGGAAAAGGCATCCATTCCCCCCGAGAGAAGGAGACAGAATACAAACCTGGACTGGGCTGAGCAACAGGGAGCCTCTGGAGCATGTGTCACTCATCTCTTTCTTTGAGGCTCCAGGCAGTCACACAGGGTCCATCTTGACTGAATAAGGGGTGGGGAAACGATAACAGTTGTATCTTCTCCACCTCCATGTCTAGGCTGTTTTAGGAATCCTTTCAATCTACTCCTTATCCCACTTCCTCAGAGTCCTCATCACTCACGCTGAGGAATGATTGTTTCTGCCCTTCTTCTTTCCAGCAGATATCTCTCAAGCACCTGACGATATCATAAGCCGGGAGTGTGGGACATCTCTTATGCAGAGTTCAGCCTTGGTGAAACATGAGCGATTACACACAGAACAGGAACCATACAGATGCCCGGAGTGTGGAAAGTGTTATCCTTTCAGTTCACAATTGATGAGGCACAAAAAGCTTCACGCAGGAAAGAAAGGGCACAAGTGCCAGAAATGTGGAAAATGTTTTACTCAGAACACACAACTTATAGACCACTGGAGATCCCACACAGGAGAGAAGCCATACCAATGCCAGGAGTGTGGGAAATGTTTTAGTTACAGTTCAGACTTGCTGAGACACAAAAGACACCACACAGGAGAGAAACCATACCAATGCCAAGAGTGTGGGAAATGTTTTGCTGACCATTCGACCTTGGTGAGGCATGAAAGACTCCACACAGGAGAGAAGCCATACCAATGCCAGGAGTGTGGGAAATATTTTGCTGACTGTTCAGCCTTGGTAAGCCACATAATAGTCCACACAGGAGAGAAACCATACCAATGCCAGGAGTGTGGGAAATGTTTTGCTCTCAGTTCACATTTGGTGAGGCACAAAAGGGTCCACACAGGAGAGAAGCCATACCAATGTCAGGAGTGTGGGAAATGTTTTAGTTACCGTTCAGACTTGGTGGGCCACAAAAGACTCCACACAGGACAGAAGCCATTCCAATGCCAGGAGTGTGGGAAATGTTTTGCTGGCCGTTCAGCCTTGGTGAGGCACAAAAGAGTCCACACAGGAGAAAAACCATACCAATGCCAAGAGTGTGAGAAATGTTTTGCTGGCCGTTCAGCCTTGGTGAGGCACAAAAGAGTCCACACAGGAGAGAAACCATACCAATGCCAAGAGTGTGAGAAATGTTTTGCTGACCATTCAGCCTTGGTGAGCCACAAAAGACTCCACACAGGAGAGAAACCATACCAATGCCATGTGTGTGGGAAATGTTTTGCTGACCGTTCAGCCTTTGTGAGCCACAAAAGATTCCACACAGGAGAGAAACCATATCAATGCCAGGAGTGTGGGAAATGTTTTTCTCACAGTTCAGCCTTGTTGAGGCACAAAAGACACCACACAGGAGAGAAACCATACCAATGCCAAGAGTGTGGGAAATGTTTTGCTGACCATTCGACCTTGGTGAGGCATGAAAGACTCCACACAGGAGAGAAGCCATACCAATGCCAGGAGTGTGGGAAATATTTTGCTGACTGTTCAGCCTTGGTAAGCCACATAATAGTCCACACAGGAGAGAAACCATACCAATGCCAGGAGTGTGGGAAATGTTTTGCTCACCATTCAGCCTTTGTGAGGCACAAAAGACTCCACACAGGACAGAAGTCTTAGAAGTGACAGAAGTTTGAGAAATGTTTTGCTTTCCCCACACCTACAAAAAAACTACACAAAGGATAGAAAGGTTAAAAGATCCAGAAGTATGGGAAATGTTTAGACGTCGTCCCATAACATGCACTAGAGAATATATACAGGCTAAAAAACATACAAATGCCAGGCATGTGGGAAATGTTTTAGTTGAGGTTGTTAACTTTTGAACCGTCACAGACTACATTCAGGAGAGACATCATCCAAAGAGCTGGGACAAAATTAATAAAATGTTTTGCAACAGGGAAATGACAGAAGAAATGGCTTCCAGTAACACTTGGCTTGACTTTGGACTCATTTCTTTGACTATTTTCTTCTTAGTGTCATGCTACCCGTGCTCTTGTCTGCCTTGGTCAGACCACACCTGGAATCACTCTCTCTCTCTCTCTCTCTCTCTTTCTTTTTTCTCTCTCTCCCACTTTTTCTATCTATTCTTAATTGCTTTTAAATGTTTTTATGGAAAACTTTCAATAAAGATTTTTTTTATAGTTGGGGAGAAATGAGCAATGTTTTGACAGGGAGAGAATACATCTAACTAACCATCCTAGAAATACAGATTTTTTTTCTTTCATAACTACATCTCTGCCGTCATCTTTACTTGAAGCCCTCGTTGGTGTCGTGGGTCCAACCCTTGTGCCTTCCACAAAATAGCCCACAGAAAATAGAAAATAAGTGAATTCAGCGAATAATTGTAGAAACCTGTTACACTGTTCAAATTCACAGTAATCACAAACCATATGATATGGATTCTATACAATCCCTCTGAAATGGGATCAATGCGTGTCTTCTTCTGCCGAGTGGAACAGGGCCGGTTTGGGCCTCACTCCAGGCCTTCCTCTGGCGGTCAAGTTCTAAACGTGACACTTGTTGTCCTTCGAGAGACAGGTTTTTATACTCAGTGGGATGGGAGATTTATTATTTACTAGCCGTCCTCTGCTACACGTTGCCGTGGCCTAATCTGTGTGTATGTGTTTTGTGTGTATATATTTGTGTATATGTGTGTTTGCGTTTTGCACATGTGCTATTGAGTTTTTTTGTTTGTTTTTGGCTTTTTAGGTCTCTTTTGCTGTGTTTTTCCACGTTTTCATGAGTGATAGTCACTCGTTGGCCTGATAGGTGTCTTGTGTCCAAATTTGTTGTCAATTTGTCCAGTGGTTTTTGATTTGTGTTAATCCCACAAACGAACATTACATTTTTATTTATCTAGATTTATTATTTCCAGTATTTCTATCCCATTCCTTCTCAACCTCCAAAGGGAGACTCGGGGCGACTTACATTTGGCAGCAATTCGATGCCATTGCGTATAACAGAGCATAGAATCAAAGAGTTGGAAGAGACCTCATGGGCAATCCAGTCCAACCCCATTCTGCCAAGAAGCAGGAATATTGCATTCAAATCACCCCTGACAGATGGCCATCCAGCCCCTGTTTAAAAGCTTCCAAAGAAGGAGCCTCCACCACACTCCGGAGCAGAGAGTTCCACTGCTGAACGGCTCTCACAGTCAGGAAGTTCTTCCTCATGTTCAGATGGAATCTCCTCTCTTGTAGTTTGAAGCCATTGTTCCGCATCCTAATCTCCAGGGCAGCAGAAAACAAGCTTGCTCCCTCCTCCCTATGACTTCCTCACATGTATTTATACATGGCCATCATGTCTCCTCTCAGCCTTCCTTCTTCACGCTAAACATGCTCATCTCCTCTTAGGGCTTGTTCTCCAGACCCTTGATCATTTATTCGCCCTCCTCTGGACACATTCCAGCTTGTCAATATCTCTCTTGAATTGTGGTGCCCAGAATTGGACACAATATTCCAGGTGTGGTCTAACCAAAGCAGAATAGAGGGGTAGCATGACTTCCCTAGATATAGACACTATGCTCCTATTGATGCAGGCCAAAATCCCATTGGCTTTTTTTGCCGCCACATCACATTGTTGGCTCATGTTTAACTTGTCCACGAGGACTCCAAGATCTTTTTCACACGTACTGCTCTCGAGCCAGGCATTGTCCCCCATTCTGTATCTTTGCATTTCGTTTTTCCTGCCAAAGTGGAGTATCTTGCATTTGTCACTGTTGAACTTCATTTTGTTAGTTTTTGGCCCATCTCTCTAATCTGTCAAGATCGTTTTGAATCCTGCTCCTGTCCTCTGTAGTATTGGCTATCCCTCCAAATGTCACCCATTCTGTATCTTTGCATTTCATTTTTTCTGCCAAAGTGGAGTATCTTGCATTTGTTACTGTTGAACTTCATTTTGTTAGTTTTGGCCCATCTCTCTAATCTGTCAAGATCGTTTTGAATTCTGCTCCTGTCCTCTGGACTATTGGCTATCCCTCCCAATTTGGTGTCGTCTGCAAACTTGATGATCATGCCTTCTAGCCCTTCATCTAAGTCATTAATAAAGATGTTGAACAGGACCGGGCCCAGGACGGAACCCTGCGGCACTCCACTTGTCACTTCTTTCCAAGATGAAGAGGAAGCATTAGTGAGCACTCTCTGTGTTCGTCCCCTTAACCAATTACAGATCCACCTCACCGTAGTTTTGCCTAGCCCACATTGGACTAGTTTCCTTGCCAGAAGGTCATGGGGGACCTTGTCGAAGGCCTTACTGAAATCCGTACGCTACATCCACGGCATTCCCCGCATCTACCCAGCTTGTAACTCTATCAAAAAAAGAGATCAGATTAGTCTGGCATGACTTGTTTTTGATAAATCCATGTTGACTATTAGCAATGACCGCATTTGTTTCTAAGTGTTTGCAGACCACTTCCTTAACAATCTTTTCCAGAATCTTGCCTGGTATCGACGTGAGGCTGACCGGACGGTAGTTGTTTGGGTCATCCTTTTTTCCCTTCTTGAAGATTGGGACCACATTGGCCCTCCTCCAATCTGCGGGAACTTCTCCCGTTCTCCAAGAACTCTCAAAGATGGTTGCCAATGGTTCCGAAATGACTTCCGCTAGTTCCTTCAATACTCTGGGGTGTAGTTGATCTGGCCCCGGGGACTTGAACTCATTAAGAGCGGCCAGGTATTCCTGTACGACTTGTTTCCCAATTTGGAGTTGGATGTCCTCTAATCCCTCATCCACTCCGTCTTGCTGAGGTTGAAGATGACTTTCTTTTTGTGAGAAGACCGAGGCAAAGAAGGCATTAAGTAGTTCTGCCTTTTCCCTATCCCCTGTCAGCATTGCCCCATCTTCTCCTCGAAGAGGCCCTATCACCTCCTTGTTTTTCCTTTTTCTACTGACATAAGAAAATAATCCCTTTTTATTGTTTTAATGTCACTGGCAAGCCTGAGCAACATAATAACAATCAAAACAATAAGTAAAATATTCATTAAAACAGTCAAAAACAGTATTAACAGCTGTATCACCCTTCCAGTCAATTCCAAATCCAATGTGCTACCTATGCCTGTTGTCCAAAAGCCTTGTCCCAGAACCACGACTTCAATTTCTTCCTAAATTACAGCCGATCTCACCTCAGTGGGAAGCCAGTTCCACAGGCGGGGGGCCACAGCCCGGAAGGCCCTGTGTCTCGTCTCCGCCAGACGTATCTGCGATGCCGGCGGGAGCGAGAGCGAGAGCAGGGCCTCCCCAGATGATCTTAAACTGCGAGGCGGGACTTAGAGATGTTGTTGTTGTTCATTCGTTCAGTCATTTCCGACTCTTGGTGACCTCATGGACCAGTCCAGGCCAGAGCTCCCTTTGGGCCGTTACCACCCCCAGCTCCTTCAGGGTCAATCCAGTCACTTCAAGGAAACCATCCATCCATCTTGCCCTTGGTCGGCCCCTCTTCCCCTTTCCTTCCATTTTCCCCAGCATCATTGTCTTCTCTAAGCTTTCCTTTCTTCTCATGATGTGGCCAAAGGACTTCATCTTGGCCTCTCATTTCCTTCCCTCCAACGAGCAGTCGGGCTTTATTTCCTGAAGTATGGACTGGTTGGATCTTCTCGCGGTCAAGGCACTCTCTGGACTTTCCTCCAACAGCACAGTTCAAAAGCATCTTTCTTCCTTCGCTCAGTCTTCCTTATGGTCCAGCTCTCACATCCATAGGTGACAATGGGGAATACCATTATTATTATTATTATTATTATTATTATTATTATTATTATTATTAACTTTATTTGTACCCCGCTAACATCTCCTGAAGGACTCTATGCGGCTTACAAAGGCCAAGGCCTCAATAAAACAACAATACAACAATACACATAAACCATAAAGCAAATCAAAACATTAAAGCAATAACAGTAAACAGCAAAAACAGTACACCATAGCACAATAAAACTAAGATCGGGCCAAGTGTAAATGGGTACAGATTAAAAGTGCTGAGTATGACAGTTGAAATATAAGGATTTTGGGGTAAGTACAATGTTTGGGCAATCTTAAGTCTCTAGTAAAGTGCTTCTGGGACATATTGCTGGGGTTTCCTATTCTGGAAAGGCATGCCGGAATAGCCAAGTCTTCAAGCTCTTCCTAAAGACTGCCAGCGTAGGGGCCGGTCTGATATCCTTGGGGAGGGTGTTCCACAGTCGGGGGGCTATCACAGAGAAGGCCCTGTCCCTCGTCCCCACCAACCGCGCTTGCGACACAGGTGGAATCGTGACCAATTGTCTTTTAAAACAGGACGTGCTCTTTGTGCCCAGCGGGACACTGGGGTGCCTCAACCGAGAGGCCCTATGGATTTTCCTAAATAAAGTCTTTAGAAACTTGGAAAGCTTAACGAAGTTCGTTATTATTGCTTAGATCTTCAAAAACACACAAATCCTTCTTAACTTGCCCACAAACGACAGGCAGATTGCTTCGTGAACTATTTCTTTCTTTTACAAGGAAAACCCTCCGACCCCTCCCTGGGCAATCTGTCTTTAGGCTGGCTGGCGTGGGGCCTTACTCCCGGTTCCAATTTGCCTTTTGGGTATCCGAGTAAACCTTCCCGGCCAAAACTTTAGAGATTTTCCAGCTGGAGACCTTTGGATCTGTAAAACCGTTTTCTTCAGAAGCTTTTGGGCTGTCTTCCTCAGAGGCTTGTAGAGCTGTGAGGCTGTAAGTTCCCCAGCCAGGGCTTTGAGAACTGTCT